GGGGGTATTAGTACCATGTCAGGGGTCGGGGGGTATTAGTACCATGTCAGGGGTCAGGGGGTATTAGTACCATGTCAGGGGTCAGGGGGTATTAGTACCATGTCTTACAAGGTGGGCACAAATGTGAATCATACAGAAATGCATGCATTTTAAAAAATGCACTACATGCTGCATGTCTCTACTCCATGTAGAATGCAACCTCTAATTTTAGAAAAAAATGAGAATGCAAAATAATGAACGCTTCTTTACATGTAACAGCAGTTGTCTACCAACTCATGACGAGCAGGTGGCACGATAGATTGGCATGACGATGTGAGTCTTGCATGAATGTTCTTGCAGCAGAATTCAAAGAAAAATTAGAAATCAATGCGGGCGATTCACAACAGTGCGCCTCCAAGAGTCAGCAACGTGTTGACCAATCACAGTGTGCAAAATCTGTCAACCCTTTCCAAATGCACATTGGGTCGACAGATTTTGCCCACTGTGATTGGTCAACGCGTTGCAAACTCTTGGAGGCGCACTATTGTGAAATGTCGTATTCTTTGCAAAATGCCCAGGCATATTTTTAGTCATTGAATCTGGTCTTATAGAGATCCTATTCTCCGGTAAAAGGACAATTTCAGTCAATCACATCAGACAAATTAAAAAAAAAATGCTTCTGGGGTAATTTGATGTCAATGACATGGTTCCAGCATGAATTTATGACGACATTAATTGTGGGGAGTTTCAGAACTGAGGTTCATAAACTCAACAAAGACAAAATGGCAAAGTCACAATGACAGCTATCTGTACATGGACTGCAGACAACTATGAAGGATTGATGGAGTTTGTAACATTTCCACTTATGTATTGTGTGTTGTACATGGACATGGACGCATGGCATGCAGAGAGTTTCAAATGAAACCTACATGTACATACCATCAGGATAGGATACTGCACATGTATATGACTAGTACACATGCAAAACCATACAATGCCAACACACAAGCCGAAAAATACGTACAAGCATGTACAAACTTACGGTAGACAGTTTGGGATTACTTATTTTGTGTGGTCATTGTACCAAATCCATATCACTGCATCTCACCACTATGACATGACACGTAAGCAATGTACATGGACACATTGCTAACAGTGTGCCTGATACTACGCAACATGTTAAAGAATTTTCTGTTGGTATTTTTCTTCCACCACATCTCCTGTTTATTGATGGAAATTTCTTATCTGGAACTCAACAGCAATGACTGGTTTTATACACAAATGCAGACACTCAACATCAACATTCCATGTTGAAGGTTTTAGTTTAGAAACTAACCAACATTACTACATGTACAGTATGAAAAATGGCTCACACATGAACTGGTGCGACACAAACACAAATATGACCTTCAGAACACAGGGTACAAGACTTCTGTCTATTGTTCACACAAAGAGTAACTAATACTTTCCATTAGAATAATCTTCAAAAGTGAATGCATAAAATGGTAGACTCTGTACAGATTAACCGCAGCACAGTTTGGAAAAGTCTGGTGCGTGCGAGGGACTCCATACTCGGTATTTCTCAGTATCTGTAAGCTACGGAGAGTTAAGACGGCACCAAACTGCCTGATGAACCCTAAGAATTCTCTATATTACTAGACATGTGGCACGGCACCAAGTCGGCATTTGGACTCGACACGACAAGGAAATAACATTTTAGCTCTCTAGTTTTTACTTCCTGTTCACTTTCTCCATGCTGACTTCATAACCCAACTACACCATAGTTTCTCTACCCAGCCATACTGTGAACAAGACATGGTGGATATGACTGTATCCTTACTCACAAGGCAAAGTTTTCTTTTTCAGTTTATTGACAGCCATGTAGCTAATTACTTATTAATATCAAAGAACAACCACAGCATTTCTGATACAAGTATCCAGTAGATACATTGATATTTGCCAACTTTTTGATTTGAAGCCGCTTCATTCACATTCATTGTTATTGTTTTAATTCCTAAACTTCAATCCATGTATCTATTTTCCCTGTCTGGCCAACCCAACTCCTTGAGTTCTACTAGATTTTGATGTAGCTTCAGAACTGATTGACTTCGACATGCAAACAAGTCCTTACATTTAAGTTTTGTTGAAGAGTAAAGTTGGATTTGGCAAACCAGAATGGTTCCAAGCTAAGATGCTACACTTGAATACAGCTTAGATCACCCGTTTCCTTAAAAAAGTAGGAACTCCATTTCAACCTTCAATGATAACACGCCAGGCCCTTAAAGCACAGAGCAACAAGCCTCACACGGAATAACACTTGACATCAGCATAGGCTTTAGTGTTTGAACCAATGGATGGTCACACTCGTACAAGATGTCTACACCTACATGCATGCACACTAAACTAATCAGAGCGGCAAAAACTTTTCCCAGGATTATCACCGTCATATCTACTAGAACTGCACTGGTACTACCATGGTTGATGATGACAATAACCTGTACATGTATGTACACACACTTTAGGGTATGTGGAAATGGGCGACATGATGGGGACTGGACCAGGTGGGTGGGTTAGGGGTTGGGTAGAATACATGTACATGTAGGGTAGAGTGAGCTACATGGTGGATAGGGCTTGGGAGGGTTGGGTAGGAGTGGGCTGAGGGCAGCATGGGGGAGGTTGTGGCTACTAACGTGTGAATGATCACAGGCAGGATGGCACACACAAAAATGATGGCAGTCTTTGAGCAAAGTTGTAAAGGAACAAATTTATTCCAAACAAATTTGTACCATTCTTTAAAAAAAAAAGCCACACTCGTGCGCCTTCCCTCACAAAATGGGTAACATTTCTCAGCACTCCATACCAGCATGCTACCACCATGTACAGTACATGCACATACCTCATGCCTCAAGCAAACCGAATACATGTACATGCACCTGCCTGACCTGTCCTATCCTACATCCTGTCTAAAGTCAAACACTACAATGTATAACTCCAACCTGCTATTTCCAGAAATAGGCTTACCGCACATGTACATGAATGTTCACACAGGTGGACAGCACATATGCAATATTGATTTACTCCTGCCTGTATTCCTATGAACATGTACATATACCACTATGCATATGTACAGTGTACATGCACATAGACCTGTACATGGGAAACAATTACCGTTAGGGCCAATTTCATCCAATTAGTAACAACTAACAAATGGCTATGTTAACCATAAACTTATGCTTAGCGGCAGGTGGACAGCCAAAACGTAAAATCAGGCATGTACACGTCCTGTACATTAGAGTGGAATGCTTTCAAGTCTGATATTCAGGAAGCGTGATCTTATTTCCTAAAGTGGGTCAGTCAGGGTCAATGCAACCTGTGCCCGACCAGTGAACCTGTAGTGGTTGGAATCCTTTGTTCCTGCCTGAATATGCAGAGCTGAACCAAATTCAGCTCTTGGGTTACGAGAAAAGATGGATCCCTCAATTTGTATCCGGCTGATAAAAATGCACCTACATTGTAATTAGTTATGTTACTGGTACAAGGGAAGAGCAGGTGTAAATCTCCTGGTTTGCTGAGCAGAAAAATACGGCTGAGCAGGAAGTGGAATGTAAAAATCAGCAGGTAATGATTCAACAGCAATATGATGTCAGCTGATATTTGGACTGACCCCTTTTTTGGAAAGCAAATATTTCCAGTGCTTACTCAGCACAATTCCAATTAAACCATACGTATACGAACAGCTTCCGAAGCAAGTCGCTTGAAGCTGTCAACAGCTGGCTGCTTAGCCAGCATGTGATTGCCATCAGGCATATACATGTACAGAACAGGTATTCACCTGAGCCCTTTAAAAAATGACTCAGCACTTTCTCATTTGAAGATTTTGTAGCATTTATGTACATGTGTTAACATATGGGATCCAGCCCTGTAACAGATGACGGAATATTTGCATTGAGTACAAACTGCAGAGACATCCAGGGGAAAACAACTATTACAGTTCAGTTTCCCAGCTGTTGGCAATCTCTGTGCTGGGTCTGCATGCATTCAAAGACTACTGATGACTCAACACTTTGGCGTTAATGACCCATGCAGTGAAATGAGGGATCCAGAACTTAATCAGAGGCTGATGTCCACAGACGATGACTGATTGATAACGTGTGACCTATTTCTCCTGAAAAAAAAAAAATCCAGGTTTTGGCATCCGAATTGGATTAAGAAGTTTAAAACTTTACAGTGGGCTAGAGTTCTTGGCCTAATGAGATAGTTTTTACAGTGTCGCAGTTCTGCAAAATCCTTACCCAATGGATGATCATAAACATGTTTGTATGGTGTCTGCACAAGCAACAGCTCGCTACATGAATTGTTAAGAGTGCAATTTGTGAGCAAACCCTGCGTGGGATAAGAGGATGATGCTGAGTGATTACTCACATGAGACTCAATGTGTGAAACACACTGCATGCGCATGCTGTTCTATGATGTGAAATGCAAGCAACTTATTTTCATCTGAATGTGTACAAAAGGCACCCATTTTTGAGAGGGGAGAGGAAACATGGTACCAATGTCACTCAAAAGCTATTCGCTTCTTGTTCTGTCTCTACTGAGGTCTACAATGATACATGTACATATGTGGATCTGAACAGAATCCATCGTTGGATGACCCAACGTCAGAATCCATCGTTGGATGACCCAACGTCAGAATCCATCGTTGAAGCCCAATGGTTCTTTGCTTACAGCAGGCAGAGCAATAAAAAAATCAACCCTAATTTGACCTCGTCTGCTGTAGGCCTGGTGGACAGGACCAAAACAGACTTCAAGTCCACACTGTGTTGCTTTTCTCGCATGGGGTTCAGAACCACACTAGTCCACATCACAGCTTCGCAGCCTCCCCTGTCATATGAGTTATTTTCCCCTCTCTATCTTGATTGACACCTGCTCAGCTTGTTAATCCAGGGCTTAAGATCAAGCTGAAGAGATCCGGATGTAATTGCTCCTAGCTACTTGAGACGTGTAAAAATAATTTGATTTAATGCACCAACAGCGATTTCATGAGAACAGCTTGTAATGGGTTAAGATATGGCTATCCTGGACTGAAGAGCACAAACACGGCATTTGCTCATGTGTACACACGCATACTGTTTTACATACAAAGTGTGGACATTCCTTTGCTCTCCTGTGGTTAAGGAAAATGCTCCTTTTTCTCCAATTAGGATAACTCCTTCGAGCTGGATTTTTGATGATGATTTCCTGGACTGTCCTCTTCATTTGGCCATGGATAACCTTGACCCCGACAATGAACATGCCTCTGAAACTGTTTTTCAGAGAGGGGAAAACATTGTGTGGACGTGTGTGAGTCCACACAACACCATTGCACCCTACATTATGTGGACTTCTTTTGTGCAGAGGTCCACACTACGTATGCCATGCCTGCAAACACTCACCCGCATGTGCTTGGAAGTTTCATGTACACGTCTGCTGTTCTGAAGAAAGTACACTTACACTTCATTGTGCATGCATTCAAACATGTACACTTGCAATGACATTGGAAATGTACAGTATTCCTAAAATAGAGTTTTATACACGGAGGTCTCTCAGCATTTTTTTACTTCAATTTTTACTTCAATCTGCTGCGTCGTATTTTGACCATATTTGGATCAGCACATTTCCAAGTTTTAAACATTTTGCACACACGCACCTGTTTAATGTACACAGGTGCAATGTTCCTACACATGGTGCTCAATGAGAGATATCTACATGTATACCTGTACATCAAGAGATGATCTGAACGATGAAGGACTAAACTTGGAAAACGTTTTGATGCACTTCCTTAAGTAGATCTAATATTGCTTCCCTACATGTATCTTCAATGTGGTGACACAGTGGATCAAAACAGTGGCAAGCTTTTCTACATTTCTAACTAGCTGAGTAGCAGAAAACGTCGGACATGCATTGGGATTAGCTCTGCACAAGCAAAAGGAAAAACAAAATCTCGATACACGAAATACGAAGATGACGTCACAGTTATTTTGCCAGCCATTTTAGTGAAAACTTCATTGGAAATATGAATGTTGTGAATAAAGACCAGAATAAAATTGTATACCTGAACAGTGTACGCAAATGCAAAATCCATACCTGCCAACCTGTCGTACTCCTTCCCGAGGTCAGGCATCACCGCATAAAAGATTAGAATTTTAAATGAACTGAGGGCTCATTTAAATATCTTTTAATCTACATGTATTTTGTGGCATTGCCTGACCTCAGGAACGAGTACCACAGGTTGGGAGGTCTGAAAATGCATAAAAAAAATGAATTTGGTCAATGTGCGCAGAAATGCAGACACCAACATTTCCCCCCCCCCTTTTCTTTTACTTCCATTGTACAGTAGCAAAGCCAAGACTCTGGAGCTTCAGCTAGATTCACATGGAGCTGTACTAAAATACATCAAAGCAAGCAGGTTGGCTAGTGAGAGATGATTCATTCAAAGATGCTTGCCAGGTGAACACCTATAGAGTCCATACGCTAGGTGAACAGATTATGAAAAGAAACTCTAGGAGGCACAAGTTGTTAACTGCATGTAAACTGACTGGAAGCACATTTCACACGTCTCCAACAATGTGACACCATTTATACGAGGGTAAGGCAAAGAAGCATGCACAAAGCATTGACCACACACGGCAACAAAGAACTCATGCTGTTACTGGTTTATGTTTCCAAGCCAGCTTGGTTTGCTTTCTGGTCTTTTTTTTTTTTTTTGATGGGGAGGGTTATCGTTTACCTGACTTCTGCCCTGCATTTGCGACGTGTCGGACTGGAGGTGGGCGGAGCTTTGGAAGGGAAAGACTGGGGGAGGGGATACAAAACACGGATACAGAGAGAGAGAGGAGGCATGAGACCAAACACACAATGTATACGGACTGCTTCCCAATCAAGTGGGAAGATTCTTGTCCTCACTTTCAACAAAACTTTGATTATGAAATTGAAGGACTGGTTTGCGATGACTGATGAGATCTACTACTTTTGTAACACCAGAAGCTGTCAGACCAGGAACAAGAATTACCGAGGGTCGACTGGTAAATAAAGTACGATGTTTTCACAGAAAATGATCTGCTTTGAAATATGCATGTCAATATACAAAGAACAGTAATGTGCGCGCACATGCAGATAATCAGATGGACAGGCCTTGTAATGTGCGCACATGCAGATAATCAGATGGACAGGCCTTGTAATGTGCGCACATGTACATGTACAGTGTTTCTTTTACTGTACATTTCCCAAGTCTATGTGTGCGTGGACATAAGTTTCCTCTTCAATACAGACTACATCACTTTCAACGTTGACAAGAAAATGGTCATGAGACCTAAGCACAACATGTCCAATTAAGGGAGCTTTGGGGAAACACCAAACATGCCAAATTAAGGCACAGATCAATTTACAGTGAAAAACTCAAGTGCCCTTCCACCCTCGTTGCTTTGAAGGAATCAGGAAGTTGGCTCAGAAAACAATGGTGTTGTTATCAAATCAATGCTTATTGATTATTATAACATTTCATTGGATGGTTAGCACACCCCTTTCAATATTAATGGTTCAATGTCGACTGCCAGCAGACTTTGCAGAAAGGAACATGAAAAATTTCAAACTAGTGCCTAAAACATGCCCGAAATGCAGCGACTAAGAAGCGGGTTCCAAAAGGTAGTGACATTCTCCTTCGCCCTTGGGCAAGGAGTAAAAAATGCAGAGTCAATCTAAACTACACACAGACTGCATTTTTTGGAGTCAACCCCCCTCTAATCAAGCAAAAACCTTGGTTGCTTATCATGTAACATCACTGTCCGCCCAAGCATTGGAGAAAACAGATCCCCTTTGTCAACAACCCACAGGATACGGTACAACCAGCTTCGATAAGCAATGACCGGAAAAGCTCAGGGGTGAACTGAGCCTTGTCTGGGGGCAAGGCAAGTTAGTGGATTGGGCGTGAAAAACAATAAAAGCCCAACTGACTTTGCTGTGCCGTGACTCATAATGCTGTGGGATTACCAGGCTTAAGAGTAAACCAACACAAACAAATTGGCATCTGCATTGGGCACTGCCGAAGGTGAACTGTGATAAACACTTATCTGGATATACAGAAATCTATTTTGAGACAAGGTGTGGACTAGTCTTGATTCAAGACCACTTGTCCAAGAGTTATATAAGCTATGGGAAAACTTTACAGTATAAATTGCAAAGCATTACAACTCAAGATGGTGGAAGAGTCATGTGCTTTTGGGAAAGACAGGTACATGTACATGTACCGTTAAGATTTTCGGCCAATAACAAATGTCTAAGGTTTGGCTACTCCTCGGTAGTTAGTGAAATCTGAGCCAGGGAATTCAACACAGGAAACAGCCTGATTATGTTCCGCATACATGTAGTCTAAGATCATGCGGCAGCTATGACACATTTTTATTGACGTTTAAAGTGATAACCCAGCGTTGCCAAGTTGACAAATTGTTCCAACATGACTTCCGCTACAACGCAGTCAATTTGCCACGCTCCACGTTGCAGGGGACATGTAAAAGTGAGATGTCTTCCTTGGAGGAAATAAATGGGCTACACCAGGACGTGATACCATCTTTAACAGCTTACCAGACACGTTGATATGTCCAAATGACAGATTCTAGCTTTTCAAATAGGGCACCATTAGTCAACACATACACAGACCTGAGCTTGTCAGCAACAAACCATGACCTGAAGTGCTGAGCTGAGATCAATATCAGAAAAGAAAATCTGGAATCCCCCAGGGTATGGAAAAAAATAAGTTGCTTAAGCCACGCCCCCAATCCCAAACCTACCCTCACCATCTAACAAAGTGCAATGGAGGGGCACCGACTGGTAAAGTCTCCCAGCACAGTGAGCTGAAAGATACCGGCACATCAAATGGTCAGAGGAATGCTGAGAGTATCTAGGGATTTCTCACCTGTTGCACATGAGCATTTTCTCTACTAATAATTGAGAGTTCTTGGCATGTGAATTAGAGAGCATTAAACCATATAAACTGTATGTCCATGTCTTGGATAGACAAACGCATGCTGCCGTTACACACAGGCATCTGCATCAAGCACGTACTACCAGATACAGAAAGCACATCTACATGTGTAAGACATGATCTTTGCTTAGATCTACATGTGCCACATTCAACTCCTTAAAAGATATGATTAACTTTGGAAAAACGTGTTCCACTCACAGTTCAAAGCTGGACATTAGGTAAGGCCTGGTTTGGAATTTTTTCTCAGACAAAAGGGACTCAAACATTTTGAAAACTGAGGGGCAGCAAGTCACTTACCAGGAAATTAGGGGAATTTTGACAAATTTTATTACTTACAGATGTCGGTAAATTAACCTGAATGGATTGGTCCGTGGATTCACTGGTGCATTGTGCTTGACTGGTGACCTGAGTACTGACATTGCATTGCGCTGGCTTTATCTAGAGGAGTAAAAAAACAACATTCATGTACAAGTAGACTGATGGAAAGTAATGGTAATTTCGAAAAGATAGAATCTCTCCACAAATTTGGTTGTCACGGTAACTGTTTCTATGCATCAAATAAACATACTTTAAATGAATCCATGTACTGGTAGAAATGTAGATAGCCTTTGGGATTAGTTCTTCTGAATTAAGACAGTATTTTGCCATGAGAAAAAAACCCAAACTCATAGGGATTGACTTTGTGGCTACAATAAATGGGCTGGCTTTGAGAGGCATTCTTCCTAATACATGTACAGAATTAACCAATTCTTCCAAACATAGGTATCTGTGATGAAAACATGGAAAATGGAATACAATCACACCATGGCAGCCAAAGAGAATTCAAGTGGTGTGATTTTTCCAATTACGTCAGTGTGCTTGTAACTTACTTAAACCTCCAATTCACTCCCATCTGGTTTACACAAATATGCCAAAAAATTGTTTGTATCCAATATAATGCTCTGAAAAATACTGCTTCAGGTGGAAGTCACCACAAGCTCACCATAAACCATACCACCCACACTTGTTTTACATGTGAAGTGTGGACATTCCTTAGTTCTCCTGTGGTTAAGGTAAATGCTCCTATTTCTCCAACTAGGATAACTCCTTCGAGCTGGATTTTTGATGATGATTTCCTAGACTGTTCCTCTTCATTTTGCCATGGAAAACTTTGACCCCCAAATGCCTCTGAAACTGTTTTTCAGAGAGGGGAAAACATTGTGTGGAGGTGTGCAAGTCTACACAACGCCACCATACCCTGCATTCTATTGTGCAGAGGTCCACACTCCGACTGACACGCCTATACACCCAAACAAAGCTGCGTGTAAAGTCCCAAGATGGCCCCTCAAGCATAGTAGCTGACAGCGATCTGTACATGTATACTTTCATATGAATCATTTCCCAAGACGGTCACATGTACATGTACATCTCTTGCCAAGAATACAGAGCATGAAGGTCTGAGTCAATGCTTCTAGGTTTCGGCAGGCAATAATTCTCCACCAATGAGTCACTTTGTATATATGACTGAGAACGATATGACCATTTTTCACATTGGAAGAAGAGAGCAAAGCCTGGAAAACCCCGACATTTGGCTAAAGTCAGTACAAGTAAATCAGTACATACGGAGGTACATGTATTTAGCACTGGCTCAGAAAAATCAAAATGCAAAATTTTAATTACAGTGCTTCAAACATTGCAAACTTTTTTAAACAAGACCCCCCCCAAAAAAATCCTGGAACTAAAGCCAGACAAACTCAACGAATGTCAAGATTTTGCTGGGCTGCAGTATTCTTGTCTTGTCTTACTGTGTGTGTCTGTACATGTAGCTCAGTCAACTGCTGCTGTGTGTCTGCAACAAGCTCTTGCAAACTCCTGACTTCCTTCCGAAGGACGGCGTTTTCCTGGTAGAGGATAAGAGAACATTGTAGGAAGGATGTTGAAATTAAGGTACAATGTGCAATGCCTAGTTATGGCCTGGTGCATGCATACACCTGCATACACTCTACACATCCATGTTGTGAGTGATTTCACTCAAGTGTTTTCAGAGCAAAGAAAGAGGGGGTTTCCACACCTAACGGACGATTCAACTCCAGGACTTTTCCAGGACTTTTCCATGACCAAATTATGACATTCCACGACCCAATAATAACGCCATTTCTTGGACTATTTGGACTTTTAAAGTTGCAAATAAAATCACATATTTTAAGCACAATAGAAATCACACACAGCGTTTGATTTTTCCATGACTTTAGTCATTTTTACAAAATTCCATGACTTTTCAAGGCTTGGAGAACGAAAAAGTTTCATGACTTTCCCAGGCCGCAGGAACCCTGGAAAGAAGGCGGCTACACATACAAGAAAAAAAGACTTATGGCTAAAAGTCCTCTGGAAAGAAGTACTGAAACACTGCTTGGTCTCACACACTGAAAGTATGACACTGTAGTACTGGTACATATTCAAGAATTCTACGGTCATCAAAATTTGTACAAAAAAAATAAAATCCTACATGTAGAACTACAGTAAGGTTTCAGAAATCCAAACAAGCAATTCAAAGAACCTCAAATAATGCTGATCTAACTTCAAGGCTCAAAGTGTGACTGATACAAGGCAAAGTCACGTTAATTTGGACCCAGCCCCTTGACCTAGTTTGTCCAGGAAAAACCTTGATCACTGACTGATTCACAGAACTTTCAACTACCTTCCCTTTTCCTGTCTGGGACCCTACCTCCTTCAGGTCTTCGATGATGACTTCCTGTATGGGATTGGCCTCGCTGGTGGGGCTGGTGGGCAGACTACTGCAAGGACTCTGGCAGATTACAAGCATTGACACCAGTACTAGCATGATTTTTATTCATATTTTTCAGGTAACTACACAAGGGCACCTGGTGTTTGAGTGTCAACAAATTATTAAAAGGATGTTCCCACTGTAAAATGCCACAAAACTTATATAATGAAAACAGAAATCAAATTTAAATCCAAGTCTGTTGTATACTCAAACAGGTAGATTTGAACAACTATTTGTACACGTTGATGAACCAAAAAATGGGAGTTAACTTCAGTGGACTTCTTGAGACAACTGGCTACCACTACAGAGGATTTTAAGTCGGTGATTTTTGGCGGTCAGCATCCAATTTACACAGATGCACACAGAGACGCCCAAGCCTTCAAAGTCTCTCAACATTCTGCCGTATATGAAACTGTCAAATAAACCCAAGACGCCCAAGCCTTGGAAGTCTCTCAACATTCTGCCATATATGAAACTGTCAAATAAACCCAAGACGCCCAAGCCTTGGAATTCTCTCAACATTCTGCCATATATGAAACTGTCAAATAAATAAACAGATTTGAAAATGCACCTGCATTCACGGACATGGTAATGGTACCTTTGCCCATCATGTTTTTACATCATGTGAAAAGCCTCTATAGTATGTATATTCAAAGATTTTTTGTCGTATGTATGTGTGTGAATTACGGCACATGTACCGTCCATACTGTTTCTGTGCTGCCTACCGTACTTTACTTCCTGTTCTTACACTGAATAGAGACAAGCAAAGTTACAATGTACCGGTACCTCAGATTCATATTACTTACCAATTGGCCCATGGAATGTTCAAATGGAGAAGAAGAATTGTCAACCTGTGTTGGTGAATGAAGGAAATACGTTATTGGGAAAAGGGTGATTTAGTCACATAAGTCAAAGGAAAATCCTGTGAATTTGGTCAGTCTTGAGGGAAGAAAATAACACAAATACTATTGCTTTCACAAAGTTACAATGAATATCAAGCAAATGTTCCAGTATTTCAGAGGGCTTTTGTTTATAGAACAAAACCAAGTTAGTCCTCAGCAAAAGCCGCATTTTAAATGTTGCTCTTTGTCAGTAATTCATCAAGCATTTCAACAGACAGTACACTGTACTCAAGACATCACCTTTGGTACATGTGGAGTTGGTTGCTTGCACTCAGTCCCAAAGCAAATTCAAATGCAAATTTGAGAAGCAGTGGTACATGTACATTCACCAGCTGCAAGCTCGAGATCTCTGAACACATTTGGCCTTCAGCAACATTTGATGTGAATACGTCATGATGTCAGGCACTGACGCTTCTGACATTACGGCAGCATTTACTGTACCAGTTACGTTCATACATGTACATGTCGCAAGGGTGAGAATGGAAGAAAATGAAAAATCCGCAAAATAACCCGAGTTTTTGCGAGCCCCACAGCAGTGTAGAGTGTATGGTATACATTTGTGTTTCCTCAAGGCAGCTCTTGACATGTCCCTTTCTTGTGTTCTTTATGAGCTTTTGCACGGAAAACGTTCACATTGGTAAGCTTTGGATATTCCAGATTTTAGAAACAGCTTGCTTGAAAAATCCTGAAATCAGGAAGAATCTTGAAAAAACAGCTCACCGCTATGTACATGTACAGTGTAGAAGTCAATATTTTCATAAAGACACCACTGCTTTTTTTATGGGATGATACAAGTTTATAAGAAGACCCACACAGAGACTCCACCATGTCAAGCAGTAAGCCTTGAACATGGGTATGAAACAGGAATACATGTACTCACTGTCTGCAGCGCCCTCTTGAGTTTAAGAAGCATGGTCTTGACTGATGTCATGTCCTGGATCATGTGTCTGTACAGTGTGGCGTCCACCAGCACTGCTCCCTCCTCGTCGGGGGGTAGAGTGGGCCATCTGGGGGGTCGCAAGGGGTGACCAGTGCCCCCACTCTGGGAGCGAACACGGGAGCAGTTGGCGTTGCCATTCTTGTTTCTAACGATTTGGTGGAGGGTACGAAAACAGATGACATGTTAATGGTTTCATTATTAATGGGTAACTGCATGAACGAGTGATGGTGCTTTGTTAACTATGTGGCGGACCTACTGGGTGCGCTTGCATGCACAAATTTAAAATTGAAAATGCACACCCATAGGAACTTGGCATGGCTGTCGAGATGCAAAACAGCAATGCTGGTATACGTAGCATGTCAGCTAAACCTGTTTGTCACCTGTACACGTATGACAGGGCACGCGTCATGCTTGTGCGCTGTGTTCACAGACAGGTGACAGACAGATCACAGTAGACCAGTCATAGTGAGTACATGTACATGTACCTACAGTGACATCAGACAAGAGTGCAATCATGAAGGCCCCCGGCAATGGCAGAATCATTGTCCCAGAAGTTATTGGTTGGTTGTTTTACACAGCAGCTTCTACCATTATTGGCTGATGGCTAACACCCGGCAGTTTACAATAAATGTACATGTATCACTACTTCAACAAGAATTGCTGCAGAAAAATACCAATCATGAAATCACTGGTTGATTTTCAAAACACTTCCTGATGCTAACAAACCATCAAGCCAATTCTGACTGTGTTCTGTCATGTCTGTTTGTACCGTAAGAAAGACCTCTACAGGTGGAAAAGAATTTTTTTCTGAACACATACCGTTTGAAAATGGTACAAACTGCCTCCAACATTGTTGGTTTGAACTCCATGGAAAGCAAGCAGATACAAGGATTTACAGGAGCGTTTCTACGATCATGCTGACAGCTAAACTTGTCGTGTGTTGTTTACCTTCTACATCTTTGCATACAAATGCATGGACTGCTCAAAATTACAAAAGACTACCCAACCCACTACATGTATTTCAGCTTGGTCATGCGCATCAGTTGCTCTTCGCAATGGTCTGTAAAGCGTGACCAAGTAACCTACATGTACATGTACATACATGTACATAAAAACGCAGGAGATCAGTCTTGCACTGTTTTTGACAAGACAATGAAATGAATTTTACACTGAAACGTGCATACATGTACATGTAGATGTACCCGGTATGTAAAAACAGAATTCATTTAAAAGTTAAAGTTACTTAAAAGAAAGATTTATTTTGCCCACACAATTCGTTAAGCTACTGCAATCCACAGGCTCTGCAGCTTCATAAAAAAAAAGTGGGATGAAGTACAAAACGACAAATGGGACAAAAAATATAGGGATTCAATTTTGGAAAATATTCTGGTCTGTGTACATTGCACATGTACACTGTACCTGTATATTTAATCCCTCCAGCATGCTACAAAGTACAAATACACAGCCAACTAACAACCAGCCAGACAGCTGGAATGGCAATATTGAACCTCTGTTGAAATCAACAGACAAGCACACTGTGCATGGACAAAAGCATTTCATAACAGTTTTCCAGTTTTGTTGAAACTGCCGTAGTTCTTTGTGGCTTTTTGTATGGCCTATTTTTAGAGCATACCATCTGTATTAGTCATGGCATGGCAAGGCCTCTGGATACAATAAAAATCACAACACGTGAAATCACTCAGTGCTGGGAACAAATTTAACGAGCGTCTTGGCATTTCCACAGATGTTGCAAATTACTGTGCAAAATTAAGCCTAAGCTCTTGTCATTGTGAACAAATGTGAAATTAATGACATCAGTATGTGTTAAAATGGGGAATAAATGAAAATGAAACAGGATGGATGGACAGTAAATGAAACATTTCAAAAATATATCTCCCAATGTTTAACTTTAATGCATAGTGAATCCAATAGGAAGTACCGTACCAACATTTTGTACACTGTGTATGGTACATGTATTTTACCATACACTGTGTACATTTTGCAAACAATAAAGTTCTAGATGTTCCACCTGACACTTGTTGTACAGGTGCGTGCACCCTGTGGACAAACTTTAACAATTCCAGTCATGATAGTACTGATATATATGCAAAATGAGAAAGATATTCAGCACTCCCTGACCACCATGCAGACAATTCAAGACAAAAGGAATAAGAACAATAGGAGAGAGTGAGTCTAATTAGTACACAGTGCACGCACAAATCAAAGACAGAAGACAAGTAAAGGGGTATTTATGGTAAGATTCAGAGAGTTAATGAGAATACATGTAATCTTTACATGTACGTTTACACATGTGTAACAGCAAAGGTCACTGCATACTTCTAGTACATGTACGTGTCTGAAGCTAGTACAGCAGAGTATTACCATAAGCAGGGCTCCTGCACCTACCTGTACGGGACCATTAAATTCCATGACTTTTCCATGATATTTGGATGACCAATTATGAAAATCCATGACCCAATAACCCAATTTCTTTGACCATTCAGACTTTTTAAATATTCCCTGACTTCAGTCATTTTTACAATTCCATGACTCTTCCAGGCCTGGAAAACAGAAACAAATTTCCATGACTTTTCATGACCTTTCAACCCTGCATACATGTAAATGTACATGTGCACAGAGGTGAACTTTTTTCTAAAGTACATGTTGTTCACCAGGAACCATATTGGACAATTACATACATGTCAAGATGGGTAATTACAGAAATTGGGGGTCCATTTTTTTCGTGTCCCTGTCACATCTTACATACATGTATGATTTTTGTAAGTTCAGAACACATTTTCTAATTTCCAAGAGTGAAAAATTAATGCAAATTGGCTGCCCAACAAATAGTAATAGTTTGAATCGATTCCGGTGACATTTCCATGTCAAATCACAAAAGTCAGATAGAACAGGGACACCAAAATGTCACACTTTTGGACCCCAAATTCTGGAATAACCTGTGCATGTTGGTGGTATACAGAGTTGTTGACCAGTGTCAGGCAAGATGTGCATCAACTGAAGTGCTACAGAAAAACTACTGCTATTGTGACACTCTACATGTGCTGACACTACCATGTGCAGCAAGGTATGAGACGGAGAGAGCCCCCCCCTGCTTTGTGTTAATCGTTGTCTCGCAGGAATCNCAATAGTCTGGAATGTGTATAGGGATTGGACATGTTGGGGGGTACTCCTCGGTCTCATTTCTTGCTGGGTATAGACACTACTATGGAAGCAATTGTTCTGAATGGATTAGCTGTGAGTTTTCTTTGCTCTAGTGTTTTCTCTGACAGACACAGGTACATGTACAATAAAATGGGAATTCAAAGCATTTGCTTTTTTATTTAGGTTGTTCAAGAACATGCAGATCCACACAGCTCAGGGCTGAAGGAAGGAGAGGACACATCTTATGTGCTGTCTCCTTTATCATGCAAGAAATGTCAATCTGGCCCACGACCAAAAGCAAAATGTTATTGGATCTAAAATGAAAAACTGCTGCTTGAGAAGAAGACTATGACCGTCCACTAACAAAACGTGTTTGTGCACATTGTACAGTCAATTCTCAATAGAGCTTTATCATGGGGCAGCCATCTTGTTTTCTACCATTGAAAGCAATGTAACCAAACTGAGGCTGGAAGAAAAATGGTCTGTTTCCTTTTTAGAGAAAGTTGCATCACTTTTGCCATTAGGTATACAGGGGGCAAGACAAAATGGTAGCATCATGATTAATGTCTATGGGAATCTGAGTTCAAAGACTACAGTGTAAAACCACACAAAAAGCAGACTTCATAGCACATTGGTAGTGGATGGTCATTCATTAAATCTACTGCAGTCTGTGAAAAAAAAGAAGGTTTGAAGTGAAGAAAGATGGAAGCAGCTTCTACGGCGAGAAACCCGAAGATTAAGAGAGCACCACACCCCACTGCAAACAGGACAGACAGGCCATAAAATGTGAGCCTCAGTAACCATGATGGCTAAATATTTGCTGATTTGCCAAATGAAACCTGAAGTGTCAGCTCACTGAGGGGGCTTTGTAATTTAATTTTCTGTTTTGTGTTGCTCTTTTCTCCTGACCATTGAATTGCCAAAACATACAAAATGCAATCACTTGCATTGCTTATTGGAAAAAAATTGGAGAGCGAAATAAAAGTATAAATCAGGCCAAAACATGCCAAACTTTGGACATTCGCATGGTTTGAATTGAAGCAAATGGTCAGAAACTTGAACATTTTCTTCAGATTCAGACTGTCATAAGGACGTACGGTGCATGCCCATGTACAGTAAACAAGAGCAACAGTAATGAAAAAAAGACTTTGTCAAAAAATGCAAAATGGTGCACTGTCATCCATAATCTCCAATGACCAAAATCAGTTGGGCATAACTGCTTCTCAGGGCTAAATGAATTCACAGCTTGAGGTGTCTGGATAAGATCAAGCTAGTACATGTGCCTACATGTACAACTAAAGGAGAAATTCATGACAGTCAGGCTACGGCAAATAATTTATCGCCATGGTAACTGAAGACTTCTTACGGCCATCTGAATAGAAGAGTCGAAACTGGTACCGGTACCTGTCCATATCACGGCAACTAGAACTGAAAATGAGCGAATGCAGTTCCTCCACTGGCGACTGGCACTGCTCGGCTGGCACTGGGTGGGCGGGGAAGCTCCGTCCCCCTCGTCTACCTAAAGGCAAGGCCAAAGGGGAGGGCGACAAGCCCCTGGTCACACCGACCCTACACGTAGGGGGAGAAAGCAGATGCATAAACATGAAGGATGGAAATGAATGGCTGATGACGACTTGTGGAAAAGAATGAAAAGTGCATGTACTGTACATACACGTACTGACCACCAGAATCAATGTTATCAATCCTTATCCACAAAAACAATACTATAGGTACCCGTACATGTACATTACACCGTACATTACAGTCAGTCAAATAATCAATAAAATTGATCATTCCACGTCTGATCCAGCTGTCATCAACGAGCAATGCTGTTATTGTCTGAGCCACTGTAAAGAATTTTGGTTGTACAATGCAATCACAACATAAACAAAAAATCAGCACTGCCAAAATCATCTACAGTATGTGTGTTCACCGTTTCATGTTCTCGCTGTTATGTTTGTGCATGAAACTATTGTACACAATTGTGCACACAATACACGTGCATTGCAAAATACTAGTCAATGGCATTGTAAACAGCTATATAAATAACACTGCAGCTTCCACTTCATTTGTAGATGTAATGATTTAAAAATACACAAGTTTTAAAATGTTAATTCTGTGTAGGTACATGTACATACATGTACATGAACCTTTATAAATTCTACATTTCTTGCTAACCTACACGTACATGTACACGTACCCACTGCCAACTGGGCTGCGTTCTATGCATTTTCCTTCCTCATGAAACATCAAAGTCAATTATCCATATCTGTGCTCAGAGATTGGAAATGAATGCAAACTCATTTCAATAATTTCCCTTCCCATACAGCCACACTGAACACATGTAATGTACATGTGCGTGAATGTATAGGGCTGACTCAATTCCAATCATTCACAATTCGACCTTCAATTTGATTGAATATCTGAAATTCGTTCCTACCTACCAGCAGATTGTTAAACAAACCATGTATACAAAATCAGTTGCAATAACACTCACAACATGTACATGTAGGAGTATCTCCAGCCGCAATTTATCCCGTGATGAACAATACATGTACTTCTTGCCCTGCTGAAAATTTATATTCCTTTTAAATTGTGTAATGAATAATTTACTTTTTAAATCGTAAGACTTCTGTCGCTTTTCCTTTGAATCTGCTTGAAACTAGCCACCATGGTGCAATTTTTCTAATTCAAAACAAAAGAATATTTTCCCTTCCTTTTCATGAATTTTGCATTCAAATATTAAAATCTGATACTATTCAAGTATTCGATAATCGACTGAATATTCAGTTATTTGGATATTCAGCACAGCCCTATGAATGTGTAAAGTGGCACCAGTATGGTGAATTGGCAACCCAGCGGTATGCTTGATACTGGTGTGCAATATACCGGAGTACACATGCATACTGTACATGGAAAATGCCGATACCATGTACGAAAGGACAGCATAGTGAGTGCTGTACGGACGGACACTGCTCTTGGGAACAATGTTGTAATTTGATGTACATGTACAATGCACATTATTGTACAGTATTTCATACAGGTGAATACCATGGTTAACACAGCCAGAGATTGTGACAATCGGCAACTCTTACACATGTTAGAGCCATGGATCATCTTCCATATGTAGATGTACATGTACATGTACAGGCACAGGTGATTTTTTCATTTCCTACACATGTACATGTTTGTACATATACAGGTACACATGAACAATCACAGGTGATTTTTTCATTTCCTACATATGTATGTACTTTGAAATGAGATGAACATATGAACATATGAACATACATGTATGTACTGGTATGTAATCTATCATTCTGCAGATTTTAACACCAATCATTTGTGCTGCCAAAGCTACAGTACATGTACCGGCACATGTAAAAACAAACTAAAAAACACAACAAAATGAAACAAAAACTACACATAATGCCAAAACCTTGACTCTTTGTCTATGAATAAATACAGGAACATGCAGGTTATACCATATTTGATCTGTGAACCCAATTGGTGTGACCACAGAGTAGGTGACATGTACATATAAGCTACACGTACATAAGCTATCCATGATCCTTACTCCATGATTGTGTTATAAAGCAAACAGTAACACAGTTGTCAAGTTGCTTATCTCGGAGAGCAAACAAGAATCTGTCTAGAATGACACCACTGTCATTTGCACAGTTGTGTAAACATTGAGATTTTAAAAATGTAAATTACCCTCACCTGTATGCACAACTTCATTAAAAACTGTACCCCTACACGTACATGTACCTACATGTATAGTAATTTCCTTGTTTAAACACATGTTGTATGCAACAATACATAATGTACAGTACATAATGTACTTGTCCTGTGTGTGGCTGTAGGCATGTGTATAATCCGATTATGTTCTTGTAAGTTGTATTGCTTGCTCGGTGTTTTGTACACAAACTGTACTGTGACGTTTTGCACAACTGCTCAATCTGGGCAACTATTCTCCATGTTCTCGCTCAATCTTGCTGTATACATGTACTGGGGGTACATGTCCATGTACATGTAATGTGGATAATTTCAACTTGAAACAGTTTGCCTTTTCTTTTTATTTTACAATATGTGGAAGACTGTGATCGTACTGATCAACCATTCACACCCAACCAGCATAAATGTATATACACTGTATGTTGATGGGTGTGTACTATGACAAGACAGATCAGACCACTTACTCATCTAATGAAATTACTGGGTGTCTAATCCCTAATTATTTGTAACAACAAACTTTCTGTTGCAGTGGAACGGCTGTTGAGGTGCCTGGGTTAAGCTCTGGAGATTTACATTAGATTACGCAGAATTGGCAGCATTTCCTGTCAAGTCACCTACCTTTTCTCTAGGCTGTAGTTTGTTGCTAGCAGCTGCGCCTGATCTACGCTGACTGCCCTACCCCGGCTCGACACAACGCCGACGTGCTGGGTTCTATGCATGGCTGCAGCTTCTTCAACACTCAGGCTTCTGCTCAGCAGACAAGACGAGTCGTCCCTGCTGTCGAACATGTCATCGTCTAGGTACCGGCTGTCGCACATGAGGTCTTCCGAACAGAGTGAGTCCAGCTCGCACGAGTCTAGTGACTCCGAGCAGTGCTTGATGGCACTGATGTGCGGCTTGCGGAGCTGGTAAGCCAGCTCCAAGGGGCGGGTTGGCGTGGAGTAGGCGTCTGTGCTTGACTGCATCGACCCCATTGCACCCACAGTGAGCCGATGCCTGGGAGACAAAAAGGGGTCCGGCCGTGAGCTCTTGATGCAGGAGTGGGGGACAGTTGTCTCTGCTGGGACAGTACGAGCAGGGTTGGCACTAGGGCGGACTGCGTCTTGCACGGGTGGCATGACCTCATCAAGTGGCTGCGACGGGACCTGTGACTGGCCCTGTGACTGGCCAGACACGTCACGCCAGTTTCTCTCCACTGTCCCGCTTCTGGGAGGCTCAGCTGCGGGGCAGGAAATTGGTTTTTCCTTCAGGCTCAACTGCAGGGCTTCATTCGGTAATTCCCTACTGACAGTTGGCTCAGAGCTCTGACTTGTAATTCTGCTGTCTTCAGCGGGCTCAAGCTTGAAGGTTCTGTTCACAATGCACGTTGGGGATTCTTCAATCGGAAATGTCCTGTTGATGATATCGGGGCTCAAATTCCCAGTTCCGTTATCTTTTGTGAAAGTACTGTTCAACTGCAACTGCTTGCCTGAGATGTCTTGATGCGTTCCCGTATTTGTGGTGTCATGAAGTGGGGAGGTGGATCTGGACATGCTAATGCTGCTTGAGTTCAAGCCTTCTGATTGGCTGCTGCTGGCTTGCCGCTTGATCCCTCGCGGCTCATCGCTGAAGACACTCCGGTAAGGCATGGGCTGCCCATAGACTTTGGCACTACTGTTTGACATATTTGAGCTGACGGAGCTGCGATCGCTCTCCGGGGTCCGAACACTGCTTGTTGACTCCCTGTCTGGTGGTGAACCATGAGGTAAATTTAATTCCAAATTGTGATCTCTGACACTTGACCCTGTGGTACCATGCCTGACATTTGCATTTAGTTCATCTCCGTTACTCCTTCCATTCGCAACGTCCGTCTTCTTGCCATTTGTGTTCCCATTTTCAAAAGAGGTGATTTTCTGCCAGGTGAAGCCAAACCCGAAACGTGAACTTGACTTTGCAGCTGAAACCCCATCCTGATGAACCGACTTACTGTTGCCATGGTGACCCAGCGTGGCCGCCTTTCCTGTTTTGTCCTTTCTACCATTAAACCTGTTCTCCTCCTCTTTCATATCGCTCAACCGCTTCTCGTAGCTGGCAACAATGGACGACGTCTTTGATCTCCGTTTCACATCATCCTCTTTGCGATTTTTCCCCTGGCTCGGTGGTCGTACTTTCACGATGCCGTTCAGATCTTCTTCAGCGCTTTTCAAGTGCACATCAAGCTCCGACTCTGGTGGTGGAGGGACTTTCTTCTTACGAAAAGACGGCAAACGAGAGATGAATGATCGTTTAGATTTTGACGAACCCCCTTTAGTCAGGGGCCCGTCTGCTGAGGCAGACATGTCTGCCGGGTACTTTTACCGCGATTCTCTTTTGTTCTCACAGTCTGAAAGTAAAATCACCTCCGATGGAAATATCTAAGTTCGTCTGCCATCTTCAGATAAAGTTCCTCCTCACATGAATGATCTGTAAAATAGGCAAATATTATTTTAGTTAGAAATAAAATATTATCTTCAGATATCTACATGTCACTGTGTTACTACTTACGGTGAAACCAATCTAACTTGACAATAAGTAATACATGTAAGTTGTGAAATTAAGGACCTAGCGACTATATAGACATGGATGTTTGCAGCATAACAGAGACTGGTTCCTTCAAATGAAAGTAGGCAAGAGTTCCATATACATGATATATGGACGTCAGTAATTATTCCCTACAGTGATCTTTTAGCCGTCAGAAAGCAAACACATGTCCATAAAAGTTCAATTTAGGAGGGAAACAACTATGTCACTTACATATACTAAGAAAACAAGTTTTCAGACCAGTCTCATAGGGTTTGTGCAGAGGGTGTCAAGTGGCATCCGTGTATGAAACTCTTTCCTGAAAGTGCACTGGCACTGTTATAAAGGATGAAATCTGACATTTTCCTGTTCACAGGTTTACGAATTTGCATTAGGTGATTACATGACACATGTACGTTTGAAGAAGGTCACGATGGTATGCTCCCAATTAATTCCAGCTAAGACAAGACTACTGATGCCATCACATGATCAGGTGATGTTGGCCTACGTGTAGCCTGTTGGTCTATTGACAATTTTGTATTTTAAAGAGTGGACATCAGTCACACCACTTGACACCCAATGTCATGTATTTCATGACTGAGCTTTGATATTTTCCCTGCTAAATTTGACTCCTGTCTGGAAGCTGAAATACCACTGTCATGAGTGATGTCCATGTACATGTAAGATGGAACTCTTTGCCAACTAGAATTTAACTAAAATGGAAATGCGTACGCCAAACCCTTTTTCCTCTCTTCAATGGTTCAATCATGGAGCATGGAGGTGGGCCTAGCTCTATGATGTACACGCACACGCAATGATCTCGTCTTGTCGTGCATGATTAAATTGGTTGCTGTCATGCCACGAACACGTCATCCGACCACCATATTTGACACCAAATTACACGTTTTTGGTGGCACAGTAACCATTAAAGTAATCACAGAAATGTAGGAAAATGCCGAGACAAAGATTAAATTCAGAAAAAAAGTCTGAAATTACTACTTACACTTGACAAATGGCAGAATAATCAAGAAATCCCCAGACGTTCGCGTAACATAAAAAATAATGTATTTATAATGAGTGCATGCCTGAATTTCTAAACGTGTAGTTCAAGGCTTCCACATAAACCTAAACACTTAACGAAAAGTGACATAATAGAATGGCAGAAAACTACATACAAGCAAATTCCAATTAGAACGATGTAATGAAATTAAATTCTAGAGAATTTTGAGAAAGTTACGATAGCCGAGTTCAACTCCAAATACATGTTGCAAATCTCAGCGGAACAGACGTTCAGTACAACACCTGCATGACGTACGGTATAGTCTTGGGATCAAGACGTTAGTGCTTGATAGCGGACACCGTACATAGTGCGCCCCCAACGACTCACAATTAGATTGTGCGCCAGTAAGTAAAATCTAGGTGTGCGCTATCGATCACAGACGTCTTGGGCCAAGACTATGTATCGTACAGTATAGTAGTACGGTAGCACGGTGCGGGTGTGGGAATCGTTAGTGGGCGGAGCTACATTAATTACGTCTCCGGTGGCCGCGCCGCTGCTCGACAACACGCCGGGTAGGGGCGCCAGGCTCCAGGCCTGCCTGAGTGCTCCATTAAAAACAGTGTAAAATTAACACAGTTTGGAGCCCAATTGCAGGCAACCAAAGTCCCTGAGGCCTCAAAAGAAGAAAAAGAAAACAAAGTGTGTTGTTTGGTCCTTCAGATTTCATTTGATTTTCAAATTTTAGTAAGTTAATCAAAGTTGATTTTTTATTATCTGGCTAAAACAAACTCACCCCCAAGTGAACGTTCCCACATCTTCTCAACAGCCATTTTCAGTTGACATCCCTCAACTTTTTCAGGCTCTTCTGACAATTTTCCAATAGCATTTTTGTCTGCTTTACCCCCAGATGGGAGCCCCTGAATCTATAGAGATGATCTGGCCCATACTTATACACAATCCCACAATTTCTTGACGAGTGGAATTATAAGACTTGAAGGTTTTCATGGTGAACTTGACAGAAACTAGATGAGTAAAATGATTGCGGTTGCACCATCTATCAATCTCTTTCTTGGTATGTGTGGTTCTTAGAAGAACCAAGTTATTTCCCGGTTCTTCTCAGAAACACACATACTCAAGAAAGAGACTGATACATGGTGCAACCGCAATCATTTTACTCATCGAGTGGAATTATGACAAGTTGAATCAATCTTAACTCTAGTCCTGAACAATGACATTCCTGACCGCAATTTCCGAGGACAGACAGAGGGAGAGACCATAGATAAAGTGTTCTAGTAGAGAATTTCGGAGACCTTATCACTTTTAATAAAAAAATTCAAGGAATAGAAACAAAGAAATTATTCTCAGATTAGATTTCACAGTATTCGATTCAAATGCTGAAAATATGAGACCTTCAGATCTACTGTAGATCTTTCCACGACCACATCCGAATTTCAACAAATCCAAATCAGTCTTGAGTTGCACCTTTCATTCACTTGTCCACGGTAAATTGAGCTCAAGTCCTGGGCTCCGTGAAGACAATAAGCATTAGTGCACGGTCTTGGAATCATGTACAATGCTGCAAGATATTGCTGGATTAGGAAGTGAAACCTGCCTCCACGTAACAGAATTTGGACATCAAGCAACCCGGCTTCTTCAAGAAACTATATGACCACAAGGAAAACTTAGCAAGACATTTTAAATCACACGCAAAACTGTTATTTTTTTCATGCAGTAACATCCAGAGTGTTCCTTCTACCATGGTTTAATTACACATACCGGTACTGTTATTTGTCCAAGATAACACTGCATATCTTTATTAATAGTATCATTCCCTTGAATCAGCTACAAATTGGTTCAGGTTCGGCAAATGCACTTAAATTGAAACTTCATTAAGAATTACCCACGTACATGTACATATATGTAACAAAATAAATTCAGTAAACCTCTGTCACATTTAACAACAGATTTTGACAGTCACATCCAGATATAAGTATCAGACATCTAAACTACATGTATAATAGATTATTTCGACCACAAATCGGCCATACAGGAAGATATTTAAGAACAGAGTAAAATATTTTAAATATTTTGCTCAGGTTAACTATTTACCATTATACCAGTTGAAAATTAACTTTTTATCAAAACTGCAAAACCTGCTATCATCACCACAACTGCTAATAAATGTCACCCCTTTGATACTTTCCAGTTTTAACATAGCAACTGACTTCTTTTCATAGAATTAAAAATACAAATAATCCCAATTTTGCATATGCAAACTCCTTAGAAAATAATTTCAGTCACAGTTCTTTTACAAATATTTCAACTTTTTCTGTAAACCCTGGTTTTAGGGATGATTTCACTTTTATTGAAACTTTGATCGAAGTGTTGGAATTAAATATGGGCTAAATGCTGGAAGATCATCATCAGCTCGTCCATAATTACAGGATAACCTAGCACAACCTTAGAAAAACATACAGCCACCTTGGACCCTAGGCAACTCCCTATCTGTTTGCTCTAATTGCATGTAAGCCTCTATATGGTGTTGTACATGAGTCTCAGAGGGAAAATGGCGTCAGCTGTGGGATAGATGTTGTTGCAACACCTAACAACATGCTTAAACATGAGCACATGTCCATTTTGAACACTTACACTATGCTACGCTATATAACTATATGATGCAATATTGCTGGAGGTAGTTTTGTTAAAGATCAAACGGATTTTAAGCTACTATAAATTTCAAGATGTGCATTTTTGAATTAGATTTCTGTAATAAGTAAAACATCCCTACCTGTGAAATGTTATAAAACAAATATTGCTTGTTTGTGGCATAGTAAAACTACATTAGTCTCCTAAAGTCAAGGCAGAAGTAAGGAAAGTTGATTATTCTGTATCAATGCAAGGAGATTAGTTTACTCTACCACTTGTAGCAGTCAATACTTGCAGGACCTTGAAAAACTACTCGGGCTAAAACTATTATTCATTGGTCCTTTTTACGGTAGCAATGAAGGTCCGTATCTCCATGGGATCGAGGGACACACTCAGTGTCGAAGGGGGCACTGGTACAGGCTTGATGGCTGAAAAGATAAAAAGAAGTCACTCCATGAGCTGTCGGTTAGTCATTGGCAACAGACTTCAGGAAATGCAGTTTTAAAGGTATTTTGTCAGCCTACAATAAGCAATGCTGCATGGCCCATTGCTGACTGAAAAATCAAATTAGAAGCAGTGATTTTGTTTTTGATGAATCATACACTTCTGAATGTGTTTACCCAACAGTTCCTAATGCACCACTCACAAAAGTGTTATTTTTAATTTCAAACCCTGACTGCATCCATGATCTCTCTTTAATACAAAGTTGCTCAACAACCAACTGTATGAGTTCTGTCGGTACGTGCTGATTAAAAATTTACGTGGGGGTGTTGGGTATGGACTGTCCGTTATATTCCACTGTAGGCGTTTCTCGTCAGCCAGAGCCTCATTTGCTGCCAGTGTCATCTCTTTCAGACTGGTGATGCCGAATGGCTCAAACAAACCCTGCAGGGACGGACACAAGCACGACTCTGTGATATCCTAAAGTGAATTGGTGCGGGCATTATGTCGTCACACGATACTGACAGCCACAGATATTTAACATCAATATAATCTATTGTTTGAATCAGGTAAAAATGTGAAACAAAGCTACCTACCTTCAGTTCAAATTTCACTTTTTGGGACAGCACTGGATCTTCAGCCACAGCAAATTGGTTTTCTGCTCGGATCAAGATAGAGCTGTCCGTCCAACGTTCCAAGGTGAGTAGATGGATGTTAGAGGGAAGAGCCCGTGACACCATAGATTCCTGGTAATCAATAATGGGAAAGGCTTCA